CCGCGCGCGGTCTCTGATAGAGTGTGTTTGTTTGCTGTTTGTAGGAGGGAGGCGTTAGGGCGTTACTCAGTGTCTGTATGTCTGGGGAGCTAGACTTTGCCTGGGACATGGCGCTGCGCGGACTCGCTACCATCTGCTGTGTAGCCGACAGCATTGCCGAGCTCGAGAAGGTGAGTCATCGACATGGTCGCCATCTTCGTAACGTCTGATTATTGTGTTATTGTTATTGTTATTGTTATCGTTATCGTTATTATCGTTATTGTTATTGTCATCATGATTGTTTTTGTGATATATTTATTGTTATTGTTATTATATCACGTGTTATTTTCGTAGTGTTATACCCGACAGCGTTATCGTTTGGTCCCAACAGGTGTTTTTTTACGCGCAATACAAATTTGATAACTGACTGAGCTGATTGTGGAGTTTATTGGGGATAGAGTTGGTTATGAAGACACCAGTGCCGCGTCCTCCCGCTACCTTCTCGCTTCACCTAACGCGACACGATTCACAGAACTAACTCGTTAAAAGGGAAAACCGTGACGAGCGTTGTGAAAGCTTGCCTCAGCTCGCCCCTGGGCAGCACCAACTATGTGCAGCGGATGAGCGGATGATTGCGAGAATGTCTTCATGGGTTTTTCATCGGGGACTTTGGGTTGGCAAGAGCCGTGTACACATAGTAAGCAAATTGCTATCAGTCACTTTCCCGCTGCTCGTCTGCTGGTGGATTGTGATGGAGCGGTATAAGTGGGCACGTAGACACGCAAGCGGTGCAACATTCCTACGTAATGTATAATAACACATGCGTCGTTTAATAATGCGAGTATAATTTGAGAGTTGCATTGTGTAACCCGGTGCGAAACCCTTTAATTAAATGTCGGATTTTCCGAACTGGGTGGTTTTTTTTGCGCGTGACTCATTTTCCCCGCCCGCGATCAAACGCGTCTAGGAGAATGGAGTTTTTCTTGAACGATGCTCGCTATACCAATTAACTGCGAATGTCAGCTTTCGAAAATAGTTCTGCTTAATTATATGTAATTTCACTATTCTTGCGTCGGCTGTTTTTCAACCAACCATGCTATAAACTCCCGTCATGCATCACTCAAGCGTGTGTTTTCACTAAACACGGGCTACTTACAGTAAATACACCTTTCACGAGACTGTCGTAACGTGATCACACGGATTTGAGTTTTTTGGCTAGTAGTTAAAATAGTGGAAACAGCGGTTGCCATATGGCGCTCTGATCGCTATTTCTACACATTCATGAAATGCCTACATCCGAAAAATAGCTTTCAAGAAAACCCCCGTTGACTTCGACATCGATATTGCATCGGGGAGAACAACATCCTGAGACAATGCTGGATATCAACAGGCTGCCATTTGAATCCAAAAAAGTTCCCCATGTTCTTTATACACGAGAAAACACGAGCATACGTCATTTGTCATACGTCATTCGTCATACATCATACGTCATTCTTCATACATCATACGTCATTCTTCATACATAATACGTCATTCGTGCATGAATTATTTTCATTAATGACACTGTCGCTAAAATCTTAAACTATTTCTGTCATTCGTTATACATCATACGGTACACGTCATACATCATACGGTATACATCATACATCATACGGTATACGTCATACAGCATACGGTATACGTCATAAATCATACGGTATACGTCATACATCATACGTTATGCGTCATACATCATACGTTATTCGTACGTGATTAAGGGCACTGCCGCTAATATCTGCTGTTTCTGTCGTTGCAGGGTAACGGCATCTACTGCCTGACGGAGATACTATTCGACCAGGCGACACCGGTGGCGCTGCGAGCGGAGGCGGCGGGTGTCGTCGCTCAGGTCACCTCTCCTCTGCTCGACCACTGTCACAAGCTGCAGGGCTTCATGGAAAACCTCGAGGAGCTCATATATTCTCTCACAGGTTCGTACGTCCGCACCAGCTGAACCGGTTACCGGGGGGATGGGGTGTTGATGGTCGTCGTTGTCGTTGGCTGCATCGGAGAGTTAATAAGGGAGATGGTGTGCTAACGGAATGATGCAATCAAGAGCTAATAATACATAGTTAATAATACATAGATTATAATACATAGATTATAATACATAGATTATAATACATAGATTATAATACATAGATTATAATACATAGCTAATAATACATATATTATAATACATATATTATAATACATAGATTATAATACATACAGGTATTATTAGCTCTTGATGGAATGTAAAAAGGTATAGCAAATCAACTGTCAACCAGTTTATGTAATTACAGTGTGTTGCCATTGTTCACCATTATACACATGCTATATAATTATTGGTCTACGTGAAGTGTCTTTATGAGTATTCCGCAAGAGGCTGACTTTATTGGATGGCAGAGGGCAGTGGGTCATGTTTAATAATACCACGGGTGCGGACATATCATCAATGCTATATATGCTATCATCAATCATACCAGCCATCAATTATTAGCTTCACTCTACCTTCGTGTAGGTGTCATGTACCTATTTGATATATTGTCATATAGGTGGGAGTTTTATGTAGCTTCAGCATGTCCTTGTTCTCACGGACTTGCTCTCACGTATTGTCTTACGGCTTGTTCTCACGTATACATGCTATGAAGAGCATATAGACTATATTATAGAGCATATAGTATATATAGGCATATAGGCATATAGTTATAGAGCATATAG